GAAGGCATCTGAGGCATGGCGGATCGCTCCCAGGCATTCCTCTGAGAACGTGATCGCGATGCGGCGATCCACAAATCCGGGAGCGACTTGAGAGTCACGTGACCTTTGGTCTGAGAACACGTGATTCCTTTGGGCCGCTTCCATTCCTGCACTGTAAGACTTCTTGCAGACGCTGTGCGCATGCCCCTTGGGGGTGGATATGGATCTCGTCGCAATGGGAGACCTCCTCCTCCTCCTCCTCTTGCTCTATCCGCTGTTGGCTGACTCTTCTCGGAGTTCGGCACCATGGGGTTTGGTTATTTTTTCTTTCAACGTCGCCCCAGCATCGTTCTCCGTGCGGGAGATCATATCATTCCACGCGAAACTCAGAAAGAGGAAAGCCCTCGTGCCATCCTTTTGAATTTGTAGCTGAAATTTTTTAACAAGCATTGAATTCAGATGTTTGGGAATTTGCTGTTTCCAAGATTGCATCATGGTTGTGCATCGTGGGTGACCTCACATCTGAAGTCGCTTTCGCACTGGGTCTGCGAAGGTCGTGCCGCGGCGTGAATCACACCGGCTCAACGTTTGGGATCGGGGATGCGCAGACTAAATACCCATAATAGTCAGGATTTTGTCATTTAGATAATAAGAATTGTCCACGTCCTCATAAAAAGCTGATTCGCAAACGCAATCGACTGATATTATTCCCATACAGTACCATCATGTTAGCATATGGAATCAGGACGAGGACTACTTTATCTAGTGCTTGACCCAGTTGTATTAATGTAATGGGGATGATTTTATGGAACGCCAAGATAAATGAAAAATAAACGGAAATTGAAAATTGTATCGTAATCTATAACGTTGAAAAATAAACTTTTCTCTTCAAGTAGATAGACCTACTTCTGGGATGTGGAATATATTGTGATGTTGAAATGCAAGTGCATGAAAAATGTAAGGGAAAAAAAGAGAATGAGCATGCATGGATGGAATCTGCCTGGCTAGAGGTGTTCGTGGACGTTCCGGAGGGTCATAACCGTTGTAGAGAGGATGACCAGGTGATCTGCGAGGACAATGCCACTTGGATTTGCAATGTGCAAAAATGCGATGGGATTCCGGATTGCCCCGGCGGGGATGACGAGTTCGGGTGCCCTACACGCGACACCCAATTTACAGGTGCGACATTCGACGCGACAGCAACCGGTTTGAAAAGATTTGCATCCAGCCGTGCTCGTTCTGTCTTGGCGTGCACGCTTGGGGCTTGGGCTGGGGCTCGTGATGAGGTGGGGGACGCTCGTGGGGGTGAAAAATAATTCCAATTCAAAATACGTAAATGCGAAAGAACATGAATGCGAAATACATTAGATTTATGTATTTTATCAAATGAGAAATTATTGATAAAGTAAATGCATAAACTGGATGCATAACGCCTAAAGTATTAGACTTTAGATAGGCCCAGAACTCATTTGATGCCAAGTAACTCCAACTTGTTCATATCTGTTTCCGGTTCGTAATGTCGTGGAACGAATAGTCAAGAGTCTTTGTACTCCCCGTTACACCTCCTGACTAACGTACCATTTTGGTTTCTTTTCGGACCTTGGGCGGCTGTACGCGACAGAACTGAAACCATATCGGTTTGAGCTGCTAGTCAATCAACAGTACACCGTTTCACTGTCGGACCAAGAAAGCTCGGAATTTCGTCGCTTGGCCGACGAAATGGAGTCATCTCTTCAAGATCTTCTCTTCTCCCTTCCTGGGAAGGCCATCTGTACTCTTCGCAGGATCGAGTGCGCACATCCTTCTGTTCTCCATTCACAGTTTTCTCCTTTTTTCTTTTGGAACATGGAGGTGTGTTGACGTAGGAATGTGGTGGATGTGTCGAGCAAGGATTATTGTCGTGCGACGATTGATATTCTGACGGGAGCGGATAAGGAGTCCCTGAGGCGATCGATCAGACGCATTTCTAGTGCCGGCGTTGTCGGTAGGTACAATGTTAAAGAGGAAAGAACTGGACTCAACCTCAGAGACATTCAAGGTAAGTCAATTAAATCGTCAAAGATTAGAATTGAATTGAAAGAAATTAAGAATTTAAAAAGTCTTCTGAACTTCGAAAAGCTATTAAGTTTACAAATATGAAGACGAAAAAATTGCATTACGAGTCCCCAACTTTTCCTTTGTAGTGTCACTCATAAGCTGTGGGAATGACTTTGTCTGCGATACGGGAGAATGCGTGTCGTCGAAACTCCGATGCAACGACGCGGCGGACTGCATCGATGGCAGCGATGAATTTGGCTGTAGTATTCCGGGTAAGTCTTGTCATTTCGGAAACTTTCGGTTCCAAATGCAGCAAACACTCCATGAAAAGGATACGTAAAATATCATGGTGCCTTGGTTACAAAGGTGTGGGTCGGATATGCTGACTCGTGTAAGTAGAAATTTTTTTGCAATGGACATTGGGATGTCTTTTTTTCCCATTTGCATCACCTGTTCTACACTCACTACGTCGCCAGCAGTTAAGACGTGTGTGCGGAAGGCGTCCGAGACGTAGCTGATCTATCCTAACATATATAGGACGTGATCGCGATGCGAAGATCCCCAAATCGAGAGCGACTTGAAAGGCACGCGACCTTTGTTCTGAGAACACGTGATTCCCTTTTAGTCCGCTTCCATTCCTGCACTGTAAGACTTCTTGCAGACGCTGTGCGCATGCCCCCTGCAGGTTGGAATGGATGTAGTCGCACCGGGAGACCTCCTCCTCCTCTAACGGCTGCAAGCTGACCCATCTTGTAGATCAGCACCCTGGGGTTTAGACATTTTTTCTGACGATAAGACCAACATCGCCTTGCATCATCCCCCGTCCCAAACGTTTATCATTTCTCAGGAGACATGCCCAGAAGAAAGCCCTCATACCATCCTTTTTAAGTTGTAGTTGAAATAGGAAAAACGCCTTGAATTTGAAAGTCAGGAAATTGCGGTTTACAAGATTGTAGCATGATTGTGCATCGTTATATCGTAGGCAACCTCAGATTTGACAGTTTCCCATCGAGTCTGTGAAGGCCATGCACCCGTGCTCCAGATCGGTAGTGCACAACCAAAATACACATAAAAGTCTGGAATTTGAACTTCTTAAAATAAAGCAGCTCACGTCCTCATCGGAATAAGAGTCATTATATAGGAGAAAGGCATATCAAAACCAACTACAGCGGAAAGGCCAGCTCAAATGAAGAATTTCATCGGAAGGGATTTTGTTAACAAACTGTTAACAAACCCAGTAATGGGTTTGTTAACAGTTTAGGAAATCTATATGTCGTATTCTGAAATAGGTGAACGTGTGCTGTGCTTAGTATGCTTGGTACGATATCTTTGTAGGATGCAGTGAGGATGAATTCCAATGCAATACGGGGGATTGCATCTTGACGAAGTTCAAGTGCGACTCCTACGATGACTGCCCCGATGGCTCCGACGAAAGAGGATGCCGTAAGAAAGGCTTCTCGGTTCCTCCTTTTTCTCTGTCCGATGCGTTGTAGCTCGTGCATGTGAAATGCCTTGTGAATAGCGTGCCTCGAGGATCAGTTCGCGTGCAAGGACGGGATGTGCATCGACGAGCGGCGACGCTGCGACCGAGTCGTCGATTGCCCCGATGGGTCGGATGAACTCGGGTGCCCTGGTATGTTCGTTCTCGGTTTGCTCCAGTCTTGGAGGATTGGGTCGGTCGCTATGGCTCTCGTACCAAAGTTCATTTACCTCATACGTGTATCTAGGTCGGCCTGTGCTTACTTTGGATGATAAGTGCGTTTCGATGAGCTCAGAGCTCGAGTACCCCAAACTGATACGACCCAATGGATCTGATAGAACTGGCAAAGTCCTAGCCGAAAGGAAGGAATTGATCGATTTTGGAGTTAATTCATAGCATGAATGCGAGTCATGAAAGTGGAAATTTGTTTCGGAAAGGCCATTCTGCTATACTGCTACTGCTATACCCTTTCTTGCTATGTAACTGTCAAAACAGGGAAAGTGATATTCACCACGACTGTTAATTCCTTGGCCACGAACTCTTAGCATGTCGATGATTGTCAGGGACACTGTAGGTAAGTGAGGAATTAAAAATGTGCTTCTGTCGCTCAATTACACCTATTCGCATGAACGCCATGAAGGCGAGAAAATGACGTCAGAAGCTTGGACCAACAGCGCGACCCGTTTTCTGGGAAGAGCGAACTATTTGAAAGGTGCAGAAAATGAGAAATCGGTTGACATGGGCGCCTCGTCCTACCTCCCGCCCACGCGTTATAACTTTCACCCCCGCATCGTCGCCGCAAAGGTGTTAGGGCCGCCAGATGAGGATCATTCGTAAGAGAAGTACCTATTGCTGGACCAGGCTTATCGACTCGGAGGTGTCAATTAGGAAGGCGAAGCCAAATTCATCGCTCAGGTGATAACTGTCTCTGAACAGTGTAAAAAAATAATGGTTCTCCCTGGAACTTTTTTCTTTTTCAAACGTGAAACTTTATTGGAACCATTTAATGGTTCCATAGAGAACCACCTATGAAGGTTACATGTAGCACCTTTACAGAAGGTGTCACTTGAAACCCTTTCGTGAACAACATGGTTTCACACAGAACCATCACTCAATACAGCACACCATTCGCCACAATAACGTTGTGTCAACTTGGGAGCAAATGTTGATTTCTCAACGTTTGGGCGTTATAGTACCTCTTCCATTTCCTGAGTCTGAACGAGTGCTAATAACGATTAGGTGACAAGATTGCGTGCATATTAGATAAGACAGTACTCTATAAAGTACTGTCATCTCACGGAAGGATCATTCTAAAGGGCTTATTGGACTCTATCGATTGTCCCCAAGGAGTCCCTCTGAGGTGGTATTTCTTTCACTATATCAGAATGTAAGTCGAGTACTTGGGTGACACGGCTCTTTCTGTCCAGCATAGGAATTACACGTCAAGCAACATCCCCATATTTATTTCATCATAAGAGAGGAGCCAGACACAGAGGAGCCACAAAGCAATTTTCACGCACTATCTCTCTCTCGAGATATCTAACCCTGAGTCCGATGCGCCATGTAGAGACTTAGCAAAATTGAGAATGTCTCTTCGGATCCCCTGGTCAGTAGTACAGTATTTGGAGTTTCCTTCTACCGTGTTACCTCCTTAAGCGGGGGAGCTTGTTTCCTCTTCCCAACCTCATGAGGACTCTGTGGTCATGCTACTTTTTTTTCGCAAAGTACTTGTTTTTTTTGTACTAGCACTCAAAAACAAGTTTCGGCCTACCAAAACACTTTTTTTGGTGCTCATCGGAATGCTGATAAATGGGTTTGAGTTTGTTATCGGTAAGGGTGCCGAGAGGAGGAATTCACGTGCAATGATAAGACGTGCATCGATGCCAAGGGCCGGTGTGACGCTGTTCTGAACTGCCCAGACCTATCTGATGAGATCGGATGCCGTGAGTCTCTGCCAAAAGTCTCCTTCCAAAAGCAAACTTAATCCTTTTAGTGCCGTGCGACCGATTTTTCGGCCACGGCTTTTCATTAGGTTTCTTCCATCACGTAATTGGGGTCCTTATTGTTAGATGGCATAAAAACAAGCCAACAGCATTTTTGGAAGTGGTAGACGTGGCCGAAAAATCCGCCGTGCGGCACCCAAAAGGTTAAGATTCGAATATGTATTCATTAAATTAGAGGAGTTGCTCCCCAGCGTGTCGAGAGGACGAGTTCGCGTGCAGGGACGGGACGTGCATCGACGAGAGTAAGCAGTGCGACTGGACGAGAGACTGTCTCGACGCGTCGGATGAAGCGGACTGCCGTGAGTAAACTCCAACTTCATGTAAAATGCTCCAACGAATTTGCTGACTCGTGACTGAAATGATGGAAAATAGCTCTGATGGCTTGCGGAGCCGGCAACTTCAGATGCACCGATGGGACGTGCATCGATTCGAGCCTGCGCTGTAACGGGAATCGAGACTGCGTCGAGGGATCGGACGAGATCGATTGCTGTGAGTTTCATTAGGAAAGCACTAAATACTTTAGTCAAAATTGTCGATTGATGAACCTTTCCGAAGACGATTTAGATTGCCGTGAGGGTGAGTTCGAATGCGAAGACGGGATGTGTATCGACGGGCGACTACGCTGCGACAGAAACCGGGACTGTCTCGATGGCTCGGACGAGATCTTATGCCGTGAGTTCCATGAGAAATACGATCGAGTCGAATCGAGTCATCGAACGAGTAATAATTCCCGTCCGACGTTGACCTAGCTTGCCCGGAGAAAGAGGTCCGATGCAGTCATGGGACATGCCAGGATGCACCTGACGAAACTCAAGCTGCGGTGAAAAATGGTGCGAGTCGAGTTGCTCTGTTTTTCGTCGCGTGGATGCAATAGATGCAAACAGCATGAGGCTTTTCTTCGTCTGTCATGGGACATGCCAGGATGCACCTGACGAAACTCAAGCTGCGGTGAAAAATGGTGCGAGTCGAGTTGCTCTGTTTTTCGTCGCGTGGATGCAATAGATGCAAACAGCATGAGGCTTTTTTTTTTCGAGTCTCGCGTTGCGCACGCGGATGGCATCGAGAAAGGGCATGTGCCCTTTATGCTTCTCTTGTAACTGTCTCTTAAAATCCTGTAACTTTAATTGGTGTTGAGTACTAGATTCTCCCATAAAATTCTGCATTGTCCTCTTGGTCTGTGATATGATGAGACAGAGCTCTCAATTTTTTATTGATGATTGGTCTGTTCAGCTGCAGGTAATGTTCTGATTCGCCCTGGCTGGGATCCTGATTATTCTTAATTGATGTTTTTGGGCATTAACTAACTCAATGCTGTCTCAAATGAGATGCTAGTCTTTCTGAATGAATGAATCATTGTAAAGAATGCTTTCATCCAGCTGAATACAAATGATTTCCATCACTTCTGCATGAGAAATTCATTGTATACATTCAACTTAACATCCTAAAAGTATGAGAAAACAAGACCCAAGCTGAGTTTCTGAATGACAAGGAAAAATAAATCCCATGCGTCTATGCACAGCACGGCCTGGCTTGTCTGGCGTGAGTTTGAGCCAAAGGAGAATGAAATTCGAGCTGGGACATACTTGGAATGGGACTTTCCTAGTAATTTTGTAGAAAATGAAGCACCATCGCATAGTTCGATGACGCTGCGATGGCCACCAGGATTGCCCTGATACATTCGACGAAACCAACGCTGCGGTGAAAATTACTGCAACCTTGGTTGGTTTCCACGTGGTGTCCGTGGTCATAATCGCCTAAATGCTCGTACAATCTTAAAAAAGAAGACGTATGGTGAAAGTGAAAAATATACTTTGTGATTGTAACATGAACTTCTGTGGAGATTGAATAGTACCAACCAGTGGTGGGTTCTTTATTAAGACTCTAAGAATTTTGCACATTTCAAATACTGTGTGCTAGAACTTTTTTTTTCATGTCACATGAAAATTTGATTCTTTCTCATGAGGTTTTTCACCAGTGACATCTTCCCATCTTGATAGAAAAATGTGCCTAACTTAGAGTGAATCCTGCCCCTTTACATGAAGAGCTTCTGACTTCATTGACACTGAACGGCACGAAATCGGTTTCCTCTGTTGCGGAGTGTGCAGGGACGAGATGGCATTGCTGCAAGGACACGAAGTCCATTCTTCAGGAAGGAGATCCGCTGATTTAGAGGCTGACTTTATGTCATTTTTATGGGGGGAAATCCATTTAGAATTTGAAGTATCATGCAGAAGAAAGAAACTTGAGTCAAAATTTATTTTCAGAATGAACAAAAATCATCTCTCTCAAGCATTGCATCTAAAAAAAAAAGAATGAAAGTGGATATTTTAGTTTCGAATAATGTGGTTTGAAATTAATAAAATAATAGTATTGAATAAATAAATAATGCAACTTTTCATAGTATTGAAGTCTGATTAAGATTAAATTAAGTCGGTTCTGGAATCACCACTGATGCCAACCACAGGGCGATTGAAGCATCTCGAGTTATTGTTCTATAGCTATTATTATTTACATTCTTCAAGGTCTGTCTCATAAACGATAGCGGTCAGCCTCTCGAGTCGAAAGAGCTCAGCTCTCCCGACTCTCGCGAGGCCGAGCCACGCAAGGCCGGAGTTTGACCGCGGGGTCAAACTCCGGCGTTTCTCCGGCGGGGTGAGAGGAACCCGAGCCGCCGACTTGAGTCGGCGGCTCAACTTCGTTGCTTCTTCTCTGTCGTGGATTTCGGGTGTGCCGTCGCCTCCTGTCGGATCGTGAGCGCATTTTCGCCGAGTCTCGCTATGCTATTGGCACAGTTTATCGCCTTTTTCCGAAGTGATGTCACGATAGATGTTCTCGTGGATCGACAGTAGGAACGTTTATGCCCGAAAATGATTACTCTTTTAAAAGTCTCGTGTTTAAAATTGACTCTTAGTCCTTGACCTTAGTAATTGACCCTTAGACCTATCGGCATCTGTTAATCATGGGTCACTGAAGAAAAGGCGAAAAAAAAATTTTCGGGTGCGACTCTCGTTCGCGATTTAATTTGAAAAAAAAAGGGAATGCCATATATTGGTTGAAGGCGTTCGCATCCCCGTCAATTAGGGGAAGAACGTCCCTGATGAAATTGTGCAATACGGGGATGAGTCGTCTCATCTTCGAATCCAGCTCCCACCTGTCTTTCTTGCTTTCTTGATCCATCACGCAGCCGAGCCCTGCACCCTGGTCGAACAGACGTCGTCGGTGTGAGCGATTGTTAGCTCGGTGCCCTGTAATCAGTGGGCCAAGATCCGTCAGGTGGATTCGGGCCCCCATAGTCGTGAAATTCGTTTTACGTATTATTCTTGACAAAAGTAAAGTAAGGCAATAACGGAGTTGACACTGACGATCGACTTGTGGCCGAGGATCCCTCCGCAGAATTTTTTGTGGAATTATCTTGCGGTTCGTGTTGCGTTCTGCCCCGATTCCGAGCGAAGCAGGGCATTTACTACACGCTTACGAACGGTGAATCACCTTCTAAGTCATTTTCCTCAAATTTATTTTATTTGGAATCAAGGTGCTACAGGGCACATTTTCAGGAGTGAATGCTAAAGAGAATCCCCGAAAAGGGAATTTACTTTCAGCTCAGGAAGAAAAAAAATCCGATTAACAAAATAATTCGAAAACGTGTCTCTAAATAGTGGATATTTTTGGTTTCGGAATATTCGAAACTGGATTGAGATCCAGTCTGGCACTCACGTTATCAATGTTCAAAAGGTGAGCACGACTTCCGATTCATTCTGTATATGTCGTGGAGTTTTGTAGAATTCAGGGGGATTTCGAATCTACCTAGGGAGAGACAGGATTTCGCTAAACCCTCGGGTTTATCGAAATCTTCTCGAAATCCTCCATTATGTCACCTGCCCACGAGGGGGTACCAAATCACCCGAATTAACTGCCATATTTTTTTTTACCCCTAGGAAGAAAGAGAATCATTAAAACACCTCGGAGGAGATGGAATTTCATTTCAGTCCATGTATAGAAAATAAAAATAAAATCAACGTCAATAAGATTCGAAGCGAAGTTAACAATTGACTCCGCTTCGGAGACACCAGCATAAAGCGAAACTAATTTCTTCCAAGTTCATATCTCGGCCGGGCTGTCCTGCGTCGTCGTGATGTGTGTTAGAAAGACCTGGGAGCTGGGACTTTGCCAGGATTGGTTTGCGAGTCTTGAATTTTCGAGACTCGCAAAATCGCATCGTAGCTTGTCCCCTCCCGCTTAAAAAATGTTGCTTAAGCCTGAATTTAAGTCTAGCACTGACACCATCGATGGTTTCTCTCTTCGTTGATGCATCTACTGTCTTCCAAACTTGTCTTTCTTCGTTAGTGGCAGGTAGAGGTAGGCGCGGCATTAGCTGTTAGATAGCTAACACGGCATTCTCCAGCCTCGACACCAACGAAAGGAGAATTTCCCTCGGTGGGACAAGCCGCGGGAAGGGCAATTTCCGAGCCAGGGAGATATGGAACCTCCCTAGGGTGTAGTGACATTGACATGACTTTGAGAGGATTTCGCTAAACCCGCGGGTTTAGCGAAATTCTGTCTCCCCCTTGGGAGATTCGAAATCCCCCTGAATTCCACAAAACCCTACGACATATATATTATACTCGTATTATTGGGGTTACTTTCTCGTCGAGTCCTTCGAACTCGCCGGCGCGGATCGGCAGCATGATCTTCCGGTAGTCCCGATCGGAAGCGAATCCGTAGAGGAAGACGGGGACGCCGAGGTCCTCCGCCAGGCGACGGCCGAACTCGCGGGAGCAGGCCACGCAGTCCGCCACGGTGGCGTCTCGGACGGGGACGAAGGGGCACACGTCCAGGGCGCCCATGCGGGGATGCGAGCCTGGGCATCATTTTTCATCGTGAAAAATAAATTACTTGGAACGATCAAATGGCGAGGAAATCAGCGCAGGAATGCAATACACCAGAATCGCGTGGATATCATACGAGAAGAAGCGAAGTGGTCGAGCCCACCCAAGTGGTTTCTACTTGAATCGAAATACTTAATAAACATTTCTAGGTATGCGTTTCTCCATTCCCTCACCTTTGTGCTGCGTCACATCGACGAGATTCCACGCGACCTTGGCAGCACCGAGCGTCGCCTGGACGACAGCCCGGGGGCTCCCCACAAGCATCTACACCGCCCCCCTCACTGCCTCCGCGATCACCTCGATCTCCTGGTTCGACGAGTTCTTACGTCATGGATGATGTCACGTCCCGGTTAAAATGCCCGCGAGGAGCATGGAGACTTCAGAGTTTCTCGTTTTGGAGTCGGCCGACTCCGTTGACCTCTGAAGCCGAATGTAAACATGTCTCAACTTACATAGGATCTCCCTCCCCCCTCTCCCGAGTACATGCGATCAGATTCTCTGATTTTACTGCCTCGTATATCAGGGGCCGAGTCGTGCGTGCAAGAATCCAGACTCCACGCTTTTACATTGTCTGCATCTCCATGAGGCCGGATCTTCATCATTCCAGACCCTTCCACGTAAGGGGTTGGGCAGGATGGGCATTACGCAAGTTGAGTCTATTCACTTTTACGGGAGTTTCATACTTGTTATGATTATGGCATATGGATGCTCTTAGTCTAGTCTCTGCACTGCACGTCGATAGCTTCATCGTCGTCGTCGTCGTTCGGGAAGGGAGACAGCAAAGTTTGGATCGATTCTGACCTTGATTACAATCTGAGGATGGAACACATTTTAAGGCCAGAATAAACTTTTCCTCGCACGTGGAAACGTCGAACGCATTTAACGATTACTTCAATTGAGAAGCCGAGAAAAGCGAACGAGACCCGCATACCTGTTCCTTCCCTCTGAGAAGTCGGGCACGCACTCGATGATCGTGGCAGGAGCGAATGAAGACGGGGGAGAAGGTCGCGGAGGGTCCCAGATCTCGCACTGGGGGATGCGTCTACCAGCGGCGATCGTGTTCCTGGTCAGTTCATCGCGGTGGATGACCTGGGGCAGCGGTTCTCAATTCGTGTGCTGTAACAACTCAATGGTACCGCTGGAAATCGGCATGGGTGCCGTTGGTGTTGGGAGAATTTTCTTTTTGGCTCGTCAACAAAGTAGTTCAAGAAGGCCAGCTGTCAGTGATGCCGCTGAACTGGTGTATTCGGAAAACATAACAGCAGGGAACCTCTTCTCAAGCCAAAGTGCTACACTTCTGACTCCAACCTACTCTCTTGATAAAAGTGTATACCAGTAGTATGCAGTATGAGTCAGTTTTGGTCGAAATTGACCAATATTGTGTACTCCTGGTATTCACTTTTGTTAAGAGAGTATCTATTGAGAAGGCATGTCAAAATCAATATTATTCCTGCAATAAAGATGCGGATGGTTTTAGTTTAGTTTTAGCCACCAGATGCACATATATTACCTTTTCTTATTCTGAGAATTGAGAGAAAAAAGAAAAGTTCAAGTCTAACCATAACAATTGAATTCCTTGAGGTTACTTGAATTTTTTGAGCCGAATCTTGATTTTCTGGGCAACCAAAGGCAGGCACAGGTATAGCGTTTGAGTAATAAAAAAAAAAGAGTCTGAAGACTTTTTTTAAATGACGATTTTACCAAATGGCAGTTAAAATATAAACCAATAATGAAGGAATTCAGAGGTCCTGTTCGTGGATGTGCAGGGGTGCCGCCGACACCTCGCTATTTGAAAAGGGTGCCGTTGGGATGAAAGGGTCGAGAACCGCTAATCTGGGAGAAGGGGGCGGTTGAGTGAACCTTGAAATTTATTTTCTGGGATTAGGGATGGGCGTTTCTTAGCTCGTGTCTTTTATGAGGGGACGGGGGGGGGGGGGGGGGGGGGGGGGGGGGCCTTCACCTTCACCGAAAGCAATTTCCTCGCTCGTATTGGGGGTTTTACGACCCTCGTTGGTGGTGGCTGCTATCTGCTCGTCGTGCGTCCTCGAAACCGGATGAGAATAAAATGAGAATGAAGAAGGATATGGCTCGTGGAAGAAGTGAACTGCGGGGTGCAGAACGGCGTCGATCCGCTTTTAGAATGCGGTTTTTCCGTGTTGGCTGACATGTGGCGTTGAATGAAAATGTCAAGATTAATGCATCGTTGCGTCGATAAAAGGAGGAATACAATGAACGAACGGATGGATGGGATGACTGCATGGATGGAAAGGAATCAACGGTTGGAACTGCACCAATTCATCGCAACGACAAAAAATGCAGTGGGAAATACTCCTGTCACCTATTCGGCCTCGACAAAGAAGAAACATTCTGCATTCTTCACGAATGACGTAGCTGCTAGCTAGTTGTATCCAACTGCAGGATCTTTCAGAATTCGTGGTCGATCAGATTGCAGCGCCATGAGGAAGAACGTACACGAGGGAGAAGAAACAGAAACCGTTTCTTCGTTCCAGCTGAGCAGCTCCTGTTCCCCCATTTCTACGCCTTATTTTGTGCTTCGTGGTTTCGAAATAGGACGGTGAGACTGGCGGTTTTTGTATGCGTTCGACACCAAGAATTTCGTCAAACATTGCTCGCGAAAGAAATTCCGAGTGACTCTCAGGATCTTCAATCATGGACGGTATATCTAAAATAAGCCCCGGTGCTCGATTTCTTAGACACAGAGAAACAATAGGCCAAAACTGTGGGTTACCCGAGTTTCACTTTCATACATCAGAGTCACCGCTACGAACAATGTGCAAGAGAAAGGAGAAAACAATGCCGACCCAATCCCGCTTAAGTGGGATCCCATGTCGACCGGGAAGTCGCACAGGTGAGAAAGAGACGTGCTCCAACGTGAAGGAATGGTTCACGCTAATACTCGGTCCTGTGCGACTTCCTGCCATTGGATCGTGCGGTTTTTTCAGGCATCGTTTTCTCCTTTCCTGCTCACAGCTTGTTCGTAAAGACGATTCTGGTGGGCGCAAATGAAATTGAAGCACCATCCAGTTCGTCCGATGCATCGTCCATACCCGTTGCTCCTTCGTATCGTTGGCATACGATCCGATCGACGAAGAATACGCGAAGGCGCGAGTCCGGACGATACCCGACTACAAGAGCCATCTGTCAGCGTCTGGCGGAACGAATCGGTCGTAACTCGAAGACGCAGGTGACGCGAGGATCCACGATGTTTCGAATTCCTCCGCGAGATGTCTCAGCGCGAGGGAGGTGCTGCGGGGGGTGTACGCGAAGCGAGGCGGTGCTTTAGCTCCTACTCTGCAGGACATTATCAGAGCCGGAGAGGGGGGAAAAGGAATCTCCCAGTCAGTGTACGATCCGACACCGGGCGGAACGTATAGCGGCGGCTCTCTCCGTGTGCGCTCTTTACCGATGGATCGTTCTTCGTGAGAAATCATGATTGGGACCTAGAGAGAATTCTCACAGTATCGATATCGACTGCCGGTGTTGAGTGTCTGTTGGAAGTGGGCGACCGACGTCCGTCTTTTTTTTTTTCCTCTCGTTTTCTTGGAGGGCATTGATCACGCCTTTGATGCCAAAACAGTCAGGATGAAGGCGTGGGTTTCGACTTCGGGGGGATCGGGCCTCCGCTTTTCGACTCCGAGGCACAAAAGACTCGTTTCCCTTTGGGCCGCTCTGTTTCTCGTATCTACTCACCTTTTCCTTCTATCCTCTGCTTCGCCGGTGAGTCTCAGCCGCACATTTTCGGGGGTATGCCGGCGAACTGTTTCTAGAAATGATACGTGGAGTACATATTTTAAAATGTGGTCCTCGAGGAATCTCTATATTAAAAAAAGGCATTCCAGACATTCTCGACATTCCAGTCAATCTTTCAAAATATTTCATTTTAGCATTTAGTCTAATCCGATCGAAAGCATGCAAGTGATTGGCCTGACTACCATCGACATTTCTCAAACGAAGAGCCAATCAGAATGCTTAATTCGACTAACGGTGACGTAATAGGGATGAAATTACCGGATGCGGACGGCTGTCACTCATTCCATCGAAACGGGGGATCCAGCCGATTCGAAGCATCTCGTCGTGCGTGGGAGCGCAGCGAATTGATGAATCATTGGCGTGATAAGCGGAGAGGTTTCGCGTGGGTGGGCGTATTTGCTTGGCCGTGGAACATTTCGTTTCGTTCGGGCTTTTTTTTTTTTTTATCCCCCTCGCGTCTTCCCCGGGACTCAAGGTCCCGATGGGAACGGGTTGGGAATTGGGGGAACGAGGGGGAAGTCACGTTCCGTGCTAAATTTGGTTTCAATGTCGTTTCGGTTTTTCCGGTAGCCGTTAGTGCATCGCGCCGGGAACGTTCCGCGATCGTTTTTCACTCTCGTTATCATTAAGAGTCGTCGAGAGACGTTTACGATGTGGGGAAAACAGAAGAGGCCGGCCGATATTGCCCGGTCTGACCCCCCGGAGATCCCCCGACGGAGGAAGAAACCCCCCGAGGGACTCGATGGGGATCATTCTTCTTCCTATTATGATCATTGCCCGTCCGGCCGGTCGGAAGAGAAACGGGAAAAAATCGTTTTGCCATGCTCCGCGGATATCCATTTGTGACGGCACGACGAAGGACTCGAGCGAGGCCGTAAATGGAGATCGATCACGTTTTACAATCTCACCGTTTTATTTAGGTCAGATGTGTGCGGGTGGAAGAGGGGAGGGGCGAGAGTTCACGATAAAAAGAAGAAAGAAACCAAAAAAAAAGGAGCGTATTTACCCAGTTGGAATCATCGCGTTCGATGGTCGATAACGAGAAGAGGGAAGTTTATTCGCGACCTGCATGGAAGGAGGTGCAAGGACGAAGACGAACGATGTTTCCTTCGGGGAAGACCTCCTAGACCTCCCAGACCTCCCAGAGGCAGTGGAAGGGGGTCCGCCACAATGATTTTTCATCATTAAACCTCCTCTATCTCCTCCATTAGCTTCCAAAGGCCGTGCTCTTCGCCGCCCCCTTCATTCGTTTTCTCCTCTCTTAGGAATCCATATTCCGGCCATTAATTTCGGATCTAACCGAGGTCTGACCGGACCGATTTTGCACTTTCGATCCGGAGAAACGCGATCGGAGCGAACGCGCCGCGATCTTTTTCGTCGGACGCGATCCGCGCGGCATCCGCCAGGAGGGGCTCCCAAAGGGCCGAAGAGACTCATCAAAACTTGGCTTGCGCGTCCTCCCGTGTTTCCACATCCATTCGTCCTTCGCGTCA